AAAATTTCATATGTGTCTGTACCTGAAATACTAAAACTCTATGTAGATGGCTAATCACATTCATAAAGGCTAACACTGTAGCACATGCCCACCTGATCAGTGTACTGAGCATCAATGAGATCCTTTAGACTGATCTTCAGCCTGCATGTCAACACATACAAGATTAGAATAGATCATGTAGATGGTAATAAGCATTGTGATCCTTGATTTAGATATAGTTACCTGCCCATGAAGTCATCCTTCATGTCCATGTCTTTATCAAAGACCTCCACATGCAGGTCCTGGCCTGGAAGCTGGGTTAAAATAACCTGAGGGGCAAACCAAATACACATCTCAAAGGACCCTTTTCAACTAATTACACTGCAACTAAATGAACTCTGTGCACTCAGCCAAAAAGCAACTGAAGACTTGTCTTTTTAAACTTGGATTTAGATTTTATTTTATTTTGTCTGGTTCTCTATTTTCTTGTTTTTTGTTTTTATTTGATGTGAACCACTTGTCGTGAAATAAAATTCCTTACTTAATTACACACAAAAGCGCAGATTATTCTTTAAAATTTTACAGCAATATTTTCAGTTTCTTACCTCATACATCTCGTTCCAGGTGGGGTTAAGATTGCCTTTGATTACTTCGCTTGTGAATGTTTCACCCCCAATGCTGATCTTGACATAGGGGTCACTCTTGCCTTTCACCATGCCTCCCATCAGGTTATCTTTCGGAACAAGATTCTGACCTGCCAACAGGTGAATTCTCAGCAGTCCCTGAAATAAAATGTGCATTTTAAATTTTAAAATAATAAAAAAAAAAAACTAGCAAGATCCTAAGAGCTATAAAGTAAAAAGAAAAAAATAACTGGACTGTCCTGTATTACCTCTGTAGCGAAGCTAGGATGGGGAGAGGTCTGCTGTGAGAGCTGTTGGGATAAGCTGGAGGACACATCAGATGGAATGCGCTCTTCATCTAACCACAAGACCTTTGGTGAAATGGGAAAAAGGAGAAGCAGAAAGACAAAAATTCTTAATTGAATTTGGAATTAATCACTTCCTACACTCCACTTTTTTGTAAGTGTGTTTATTAGACATTATAACAGTGCAGGATCATAGGTCTTAGTCCCATTTACCCTGAGAATCGCATTGATGTAGATGCGACTGGCTGATCCAGAGTTTTCCAACTGGAACCACTGGTCCAGAGAAAGATTGGAATTTGATAAGAGACGGGACAACGGGATGGCCAGGTTTCCCAGTGTCTGCACACGGTCAGCATCCTTCACCTAATGAAGAAAAGACAGTTCAACACCATCACCCGTCAGATTATCAAAGATGAGTTTTATTGCATAGTAAATGGTACATAATCTCATCATCTACTACCTGAATGTCTATGTCCTGGTTGCGAGGATC